GGTAATCATCTTTTGATTGACCTTTCCTTGGTACTTTGATTGCCAGAGCAACTGGATCGTCTGGACCACTCATTATTGCCCCTGTTTCTGGTGTGAGGGAAGAAGGTGCCTGTGGAGGTGCTTGATGACTGCCGATTGACAAATCTCCTTCTGGTAGGCAAGTGACAAGATGTCGGGACATAGTCGTACGCTTTGATCCCTAACTTTTGCTTGGACCGCCTTTTCAGGTTTTCAGTCCACCGAGATACCCTTTTTTGCCCAAGCCGCCTTTTCAGGTTTTCGACTTGCCGGGTGTACAAATTTTTCATTTCATCCCTTATTTTTTGCCCGAACCCTTTTGGTTCGCTGGGAAGCCCTTGTTTTTGCCTAGGTGTGTCAACCTAGCGGGTCTTTGATTATGCGTAGTATTTTTCGACTATGTCCACGTTCTCAGAATGTAGGGAGTTGCCCCTGTCAGAAGTGTTCTGCCGTGCTACCAGAAGATCTTCGTTGATCATGCAAGATTCGTTACGGGAATTCAAATCCAATGCCCCAAGTGACTCGGGCGGAGATTTGCCCCTGGTATTTGGCATTTTGAGAGATTCTTCGAATCTTGACTTAACTGCCCCAGATGACGGACCATGATCAGGTCTGCCCCTTGATTGGAGGTACTCTTGTTCATTAGACATTCGTCGTGCGAATTTCTCTGCTGCTTGAACAAAAAGTCATATGCAAACAAAGTTATGTTAAAAATGCAAAGCTTATGTCTGTCTCGAAGTTTTTGGAAATGCATTTTTTTAGTAAAAACAAGTGAATTTTGTAAACTGTGATGTCAACTCGTTATTTTACCACAAGCCTTAAGGAGTCAGGATACCTTTCGTAACAGTATGCTTTCGAACTAACTCATGCTTCAGCTAGGACTTTTGAGGGTTATAACGTGGCCTGGTTCACGGTTTAAGAAACAAAGGATAAAGGCTCAAATTTATTTGTTCCCACCCACTCTTCGTGATGTCCTTCAGTCCTAAACTCAGTTAATCGTGCGTTAGACCTTGTTTGAGTCTTTGCTTTGATATACCAGTGATGGTTCGGCTATTGACTGTTTATTTTGACTAGGCAGTCATTTCTTTTTGTTGAGGGTTTGTGTGACCTCTTTCTTTTTGATTTTATTATCCCTATTTTTTGCCTGAACTGTTTCCCTTTGTGATTACAGTCAGCGGGATGCCCCAGTTTTGTACGTCTCCTTCATAGGTTTTGACTTAATGGGTTTTTATTTTGAGAGATGATGACTGTCTGTCTTTATGATTATTCGGAACCATCACTGTCTTTTATTTCGGGGGGACTCCTTTGATGCCGTTCATTGTGCACCTGGATTAACTGAGAGAACTACCCTGCCCCAGGTTATAAGTAAGGGTTTTAAATTTTGAAAAGAAAAACTCCGACTTCTTTGGCTCAGAGGGGTTGACGAGGGATTATCTTCCTTATAACTCCACTATTTAGGATTTGAAATAATGCATGTACATCGTCAGCGGGGTTCGTTCAAAAGCATATTGTAAATGTCGTGGTATCGTTTTCGTCATCCTCCCTCAAGAGGCTTAGCATTATTAATTGAGAGTTGACATCAAAAAATGTGAAAACAGTTTGCATATAGTGAATACGAGATAATTTCTTCAAAACAGACATATGCGATGTATTAATGAAATAAGAGCGTTTGATATGAATAAAATGTTTGAACAATCAAAAGAAAATTACAACTTGAAAGATCCTAATGAACAAAAAGTCTTCTCATCTCAGGACTTGTTACTTCAAATGGTGAATCCTGTAGGGATGGTAGAAGCACTCAGCCTGACCCACTTGGGTGAAATCCACTACTCCTTCATTAATCAGATCCTGGACCTTGTTCTTCAGAGCCCGACGGTCGGCAGTGTCATGTCCAGGACTATCAGAGTGGTATGCACATTTTCTGTTGGGATGATAGTTAGGAGCAGAGATGTTGGGGTTCCGGGGAGGGGCCCTTAGTGTAATCAGATTCAACCTCAGCAGGTGTTGTAGAGCTTGAAACAACGGCATGTTGAGCTGGGTGAATTGCCTCCTGGGCTGGTTTAGCTTGCCCTGATCAACCTGTTGCTCTGGGTGAGGTTGATGTTGGGCTTGTGAAGTGGTAGCAATTTGGAGAGATCTATTCTTCACCATACCGGACCCTTGTCCTCTTGGAAGTTGATCAATGACCTGGTCCCTGACTTGGACTGGTTGCTTCATGTCTTGATGAAGCTGATTGATCATGGTCCTCAACTCTTCTTGCTCCCGAGCTAAACCTTGGATGAGAGCCCTTTGCCCCAGCATCTGGGTTTTCATTGTATCTACCTCAGCTTGCAGACGTTTCAGCCGTTCGTCCTTGTCATCTTCGGGACTTTTCTTGGCCAAATTCCCCATGAGGAGTGTCCTTAACTCTTCTTGCCCCTTGGATAGGCTTAAGAAGATCTCCCTGAACTGAGTCTCTTGAGTCTGAAGATCCTGGTTATCTTGTTGGGAAGCCATTGCTGAAATAAACAGCGACAAAGGTAAGTGACCTGTCAAAAGGGTACCTGTAATGCAATGATATGTATGATATGCATGCAATGTTTTCAAGGATCTCGCGGGGTAAACAAGAAAATTGTCAGAATTTGAATCCGGTAGCTTGATTGAAGGAACTGCATATTGTTGAGAGTCCTTCTTCAAGAGTCAAGGCTCACCATATCGAGTGGGTCATAGCCCCTGACTCAAATCATCATGTCTGGTTTTGATTTCCAAACAACCTTGGTTAGGGGAACCTTCTTCAAGAGTCAAAGCTCACCATATCCAGTGGGTCATAGCCCCTGACTCAAGTCATCCGCCTGGCTAGAGGAAAATAAATCCCCTTTGCCCCTTGCGAGACATTCTGGTTCATCATGACCTGCATCACAAGCCCTTGAGATCCTTGAAATGGATTAGTCCTCATGCAGGATGTATGCAATGGTATGATGTTATGCTATGCATGGGGTGATATAAGTAACCCTATCATGAGTCCAGGTTAAGGACTGTAAACAAAACCTGCAAGAAACTCAAGTGTCAGATAACAAGCATGCAAGTAGTCAAGTTTGAAGGCACACAAGTCACACAAGACAACCCTTAGAGTTCAGGCCAGCATGAAGTTTGGGGTACTACCCTCTTTCAGTTTCGTTGGTTAAGACCTGTCCTAGAAAATAGTAACCGGGTTCTAGAGGATCTCAAAATCACCGACTACCCTCAATCGGTCATAACTCCAGCATCACAATCTTTTCTTACGGCCAGAACCATCGCGAGAGTTTAGCCTCAATGAGTGTAGCATACTGCTACTGTTCTATGGCCAAGTTGGGTCATTTAAGGTTCTAAGGTCGGTTGGTGCTTAATGACTCCTCAGAAGACCCATATTCTCCTCGTTGCGACACAAGGGATATCGGTACAGACCAAGGTGCCACACCAACGTAGCCACTGCTTCACCCGTGTCGGTCTACGCCGGACAGGTCCCTCACAGCTTATGCTACCTAACAGGGTATCCCCAGATCCGAGTTAGGATCTATGTAACTCCGATGCAGCCCACAATAATAAAGAAAACAAGCACAACAATTGAAAACACAAGTGATCTTAGTCCTAAGGTACACCTCACTTTATAAGAGTCCCCAGCAGAGTCGCCAGTTCTGTGATCGGTGGATCTGGAACTGACTGTTTAACACTGGTTCGCGAAATGTCGCGGTAAGCAAGAGTCGCCACCGTCTTTTATTTTCTCCAACATGGACAGGACAAAAGCACAGCAAAATTCCTTATGAGATAGTTTCTCGGTTCAGGAGGTAGATTTATAGAAAGGGAAGGTGTTAGCACCCTTTCTATCCATGGTTATCCATGGGCTCTTAGATACTTGCTCATTGTGTTTTCAAAAATGTTTGCTTTTCAATTGTGAGTGAGTTTGAAAAAGTTTCGTTTAAAGATTTCAGATCGACTCTTGTATCAGTCCTCAAGAGTGTTTGAAAAATTGTTTTGAAAGCTTTTTGAAAGTGTCGGTGTGAAAAGAGTTTTTTGATTTGTTTTTGAAATAGAGCAAGTATCTACGATTCATCTACCTACCCTAAGGAATTAGGCTGTGTAAATGTCCTTAAGGTAGTGCCATCCCACCATTGAGAGGTAGGTAGCACCACCGTTGGAGGTGTTCGGGTCAATTCGTTTGTTAGGGACAATATGGTCACCAGAGCAATAGTAGGACACCTTAGAAGCTACCCTTATGCCATTGATCCTTTTTAATTCCGAGGCAACCGTTTCGAGGCAACTGGATCATATCATGGACATAAGGACTTACTAAAACGTCCTATACTCGACGACCACGTTTCGAAGGTAAGGCAACAATGAGGCGTACCCTAAGAGTGGTATGTGAATTTGTGTGTTATTTTCATGTTATGTTTTATCTTGTACATGCATCATGGTGATCTACGCTTGTTTTTAATTTAGGCCATACATTCTTTCATGCAAAGTTTAGAATTTAAAAGTGCGGAAATTTAAATGCGGAAAGTAAAATCCTACGCTATTACAAGGCGCGGGTCTATACATCGCCAAATTAACAAAGACCCGTTTTAATAAAAATACGGAAAGTAAAACCTAGTTCCTATTACAAGGCTTGAGCAGTTACATAATAATCGAATAAATAACCATGCGCGAACGAATTAAATTGGATGTCCTTAGGGTTTTTGACCCTTTTGAGAAAATATGAGTTTTGGTCCTTTGCTTGAAATTAAATTAAAAGTAAACCTAATTATTTAATTAATTATTTACAAGAAAAATGTTTTTTATGTTTTTTGTATTTAATGAAAATAAAAAGGAATTAAAAGTTAAGAAACCCTAGTTCTAAGTTTATTTTACTTATTATAAAAATGTTAAAGTTAACCTAGTTTACTAAATTAATTAATCTATATTTTATTTACAAAATAGTTAAATGAAATTAATAAATAATAATAATAACCTTTTTTTTCGGTGAAGTTTCAACGGTGAACAGTGCCAAATAGCTCAGAAAAATGTGGTCGACTCATGATGGTGAGGGCTGAGTTCGCGTGTAACTGTCCGTCGGAGCGTGACGGCAGATGAGCGCAGATCGGAAGCGGGCAGTGGCTTCGCCGGGGAATCGGCCGGTAATCTGGATTTCCGACGAGGTGGTTTCTTTGACGACGAAGGAGATTAGTGGGTCTGATGGGGAGTCGTAGTCGGGTTGTCGAAGCGGTGCTGAAACGTAGTTGTGTCGTTTCTTCGTTCTTCTCCTTGCAATTTTCTTTTGGTTTTACTGTAATTTTTCCTCTCTTTTCCTGCAAACAAAACTCAGACAGTATAATATATTGTTAGATATTTTGTGAGTTTATAGTTTAAAATGGGGATTGTTGTTTAGTTTGGATGGTGATGTTATGAAAAAGGAAAATCATTATTTTGATTTTGGGATTTAAAAAATTGTTTCAACTTTGATAGTTGGTTTTGTGTTGAAACAAGGCTAAAGGTGACGAACACGTTTGGATACTGTTGGCTTATTGATAACCGAAAAAGTACCACTCTGTTCTTTTTTTGCTTAGAAATAGTAAGGTCATAGCACTTAAACCAATAAACCATAAATGATAAGAGAATATATTAATATATAAACAAAATGAAGCAAGCAACACAGTATGAGTAAAACAAAGCAACACCAGAAAGTGGAATATCAAAAAACATATAAAAACTCAAAACTAATTTATTACTAAGGAGTAAACAAATATTGATGCACTGAGTGTATCGAAAAGGTTTTCATAGGAATAAGATTACTTGTGAACATGTGTGCAGTGACAAGGGTTGGAAATCATTGGTTTTTTTTTATATTGCATATGGCTTTCTTGCAGCAATCTCACCTGTTAGGATTTAGGTTTGACTTCAGCATATATAGTATAATGGAATTAGGGTAAAGAAAATGGGCTTTAAATGTGCAATTGGGCCTCCAATGTTCACTTGAGTTCGTCACTTTCCAGGCTAAATCGCAGGGACTTAAATGAAATTTTTGAAGTTGAAATGTGAAAACAAAATGTAGCCGATATCGAGAACTAACTCCTGTCCGAAAATCGGCTCAATCGGATAAAAGGTGAATTAGTTATGAATTTTCGAAGTTTCGGCCCAGATGAAATAATATTCAGCATTCAGGATTTTCGGCGTGTCATGCGCTCTGAGCAAAAAACGAAGGCCTTTTGAATACCGTTTGAACTCAATACCTTCTGTGAAAATGTAGCCAACTCAATTTGTGAAATGTTGGCGCCGGAAACAGCTCGATACCATGAAAATCGACCAAGTTATGATTTTCTGAATATGACGCAAATAAACTTTTGTCACAAATTTTCTGTATGAAAATACATGATAAATCCACATTTTTGAAGATCTTCTGATCGAAATTGGCTTCCAGCCGTGAGAGATGAAAACATAGATAATGTCAAGACGGAATGTTGGTCACCAGAACGGGTTCAAAACGAGTCACGATCTTCAAGTTATGAATTTTTTAGCGCGTAAAAACTGCACTTTCATCACACTTTTTCACCATATTTCTTCAAGAAAACTCGCACATTCAGATACCTTCTTTAAAGAATTGACTCTTGAGCCGAACCTGAATTTGAGAATACGTTATCAGAGATATCTTGGTGAAAGAACGCCTGAATATGACGCGCCGGGTTGGACTTGTGAATTTTTCTTGAAATGTTTTGAGAAATATGGGAGGGCAAATTTTGGGTTACAACAATATCCTTTATGTGTTGAAGAATGAAACTCTGAGGAGTCATGTTCTGATCAAAGAACAAAGCCTCCATATGTTTATACTGGAGCGTGGAACGTAATCTCCATATGCTGAGGAGATATGTTCTGACCAAAGAACACAACCCCCATATGTTCTGACTGGAGAGACATGTTCTGAACCGTCCTTGCAAATTCTGATTGGACTTGCATGGAGTTTGGCCCAGAAGTTCTGAAATCTCTTGCCACTTAGAAAATTTTCCAAGTATTTAAAAAAATTGATTTCTTTCTTTTCTCAAAGTAGTTTCTGATTTCTGACTTCTTGATGAACCAATTTCTTGTCTTGATGAAATATAATTGTTGAAACTTGATTTTTTACCAAAAGTCAAAGTTTGACTTTTCAGAGTGCATTTGACCATTTTGCCCTTGTGAATGACTTTCTTGGAAAATTGTGATTCAATACTTGAAACTTGATAGAAGCAAACCTGAGTGTCCAGGATGATCCTTTGTGAAATGAGAGGGCAAATTTTGGGGTACAACAGCTGCCCCTGTTCAAACTTCTTGAACCTGAAGAGTTAGATTGGTGGATCCGCCATTCGTGACTTGAAGGTGAAAGATGATTGAACACTAGAGTACCCAGAAATTTGCACTCGAAGATGGATGGTGAATGGGCTTATAGATTCCATTTGGAGGAATGTTGGTAAATGCTAGAAGAAGTATCAGCATAAATCTCTTGTTGATTTATACTAAGACTTGATGTTTTACCTGTGAGAAAAAGGGTTAGTAAAATGCAGATGCTTGCATGATATTCACTAGATGTGGTATCATGCTAGATGTATGTGGTATGTACATGCTATGATGTATGAATGTGAAATGTATGTTTTTATTCAGGAAAATAAATCTCTTACTACTGTTGAGGAAATTCTGGAAGGTTGAATATCTTCAAATTTTGTTGAAAGGATGCTTTTGCTAGGGAACATCGCTCACACGTCAGCTGTTGTCTAGCCGGATCCAGGCTTCACAATTGATGAGGATGAAATAGTCGGCTACTATCTGGTTGGATCCAGGTTTCACGGTAATTTACTGGAGGAAGAGATGAATTAACTGCTATTTGGTCGGATCTATGCTTTGAGAAAAACTCCTTGACATTGAATAGTTATCTGGTCGGGTCCAGGCTTCACAATAACTTGCTGGGGATACAGAGGTTAACTGTTATCTGGTCAGATCCAGGTTTCACAGTAACTTGAAATGGTAACTACTATCTGGTCGGATCCAGGCTTCGCAGTGACTTGAAATGATAACTACTATCTGGTCGGATCCAGGCTTCACAATGACTTGAAATGATAACTACTATCTGGTCGGATCCAGGCTTCATAGTGTCTTTCTGGGGATCATAGTTAATTGTTATCTGGTCGGATTCCAGGTTTCACAATAAACTGTTTGAAAAATTGTTATCTGGTCGGGTCCAGGTTTTGCAGATTTCTTGATGAGGTCAATTGTTATCTGGTCGGGTCCAGGTTTCACAATAAACTAGTTGAAAACTATTATCTGATTGGGTCCAGGCTTTGCAGATTTATTTGAGGATGATTGCTGTCTGGCCAGGTCCAGGTTTTGCAAAAAAATGTTTGAGAAGATGGAAATGAAAACTGATATTCGGTCGGGTCCAGGTTTCTCAGCAATTTGTTGGGGATATGGAGGCAACTCTATTGGGGGAAATAAGTTAAACCTTGGTCTGATTGAGTTCAGGTTCTTCTATATATTTGAAAAGTTAGGCTATTATCTGGTCGGGTCCAAGTGTCATAGCATTTTGAATTTGAGATCATCTGTTATCCCGTCGGGTCCAGGTTTCAGATACTCAAATTGTTATCTGGTCGGGTCCAGGCTTCAGTAATTGAGGAAGTCAAACTGTTATTTGGTCAGGTCCATGCTTTAGTAATAACTTGAAAATGGTGCTAATATCTGGTCGGATCCAGGTTTCATAGCATCTCTTGGAAATAATAAAGGCTTTGTTGACGGCTTTACCGGGATTAGGGGTTGTGGCCCTGTGATTTGCTGTAATTTGAAAGGGAAATTCAAACTGGAGAGTATAGACTCAGTCAGGTAAGGCAGGCTCAGCTTGGGGAGGATATATTCTGTTTGGAGATAATAGCCTCGGCTGGAGAAGATATACTCAGCTGGGGAAGATAGGCTCAGCTGGGGATGATGGCCTTGGTTGGAGAAGATATACTCAGCTGGGGAAGATAGGCTCAGTTGGGAAATTTGATTGTTGTATGTTGAGAAATTTGAACTCGGCTAGGGAAACAAAACTCTGTTGGGGAAAGGTTTATTGTCGCCATCCTTGTGGGGATAATGATGAGATAACTCTGTGGGGATATTTCATACACATTAAAGAGATGCTGACTGATGCTTAGCAGGACACATGTGCCAAATAGTTTTAATTATGTTCATATGCATATTTTCATTCAATTTTAGTCATTGGACAAATTTGTATTCAAAACAAAGATAGGAAATTTTGCACTTCAAAGCATATTCGTATTGATATTTTTCCCATGAATAGGCGTTTTTGTACATAGATACGGAGATCCTAGTAAGAGGAAATCACCAAAAAGGAAAACAAAATTGAGAATGAAAACAAATAGCCATGTGAAATGATCTCATTTCCCTCCAGCTCTACTATTGCCCCAATGTCTTCGAATGTCTCTTGTCGTTGATCAAAATTGATTAGATTGATTCGGGACCATTTGAACTTGGACCTTGATGATAGAATTGACTGTGTTGATTTCACAGGACATAGTCGTACGCTTTTAATCCTTAATTTTTTTCCTGAACCGCCCTTTCGGGTTTTCGGTCCACCAGGATACCCTTTTTTGCCCAAGTCTCCCTTTCGGGTTTTCAACTTTCCGGGTGTATAATCTTTTGCATATATCCCTAATTTTTGCCCAAACCTTTTGGTTGTCGGGATGCCCTTATTTTGCTTAGGTGTGTCAACCTAACGGGTCTCTTATGCATAGTATTTTTTAACTATGTCCGCGTTTATAGGATGTGGGAAATCTTCATTGTCCATGGTGGCCAGCATCATGGCACCGCCAGAAAAAACTATCTTGACAACAAACGGCCCTTCATAGGTGGGAGTCCATTTTCCTCTGGGGTCACCTTGTGGTAAAATGATGTGTTTTATCACCAGGTCACCAACTTGATATACTCGAGGCTTTACCTTTTTGTTGAAAGCCTTGATCATCCGTTTTTGATATGTCTAACCATGGCAAATAGCAGCTAATCGTTTTTCATCGATCAAGTTCAGTTGATCCAATCTCGTTTGAATACATTCGTCTTCGCCTAGGCCTGCCTTGATCATAATTCTCAGCGAGGGAATTTGAACTTCCACTGGAAAAACAACTTCAATGCCATAGACTAGAGAGAAGGGAGTTTCCCCAGTTGATGTTCTAGCTGAAGTACGGTAGCCATGTAGAGAAAACGGTAACATCTCATGCCAATCCTTATAGGTTACTACCATTTTTTGCATGATCTTCTTGATATTCTTGTTGGCCGCTTCGACTGCGCCATTCATTTTCGGTCTGTATGGAGAAGAATTATGATGCTTCATCTTAAACTGAGTGCACAACTCCCTGATCATAGCATTGTTGAGGTTAGTCCCGTTATCGGTGATAATCCTTTCGGGGATACCGTAACGGCTTCGACCCATTTGGTAAAGTAGTCAATAGCAACAAGAATGAAACGATGTCCGTTGGAAGTTGTGGGCTTGATCTCTCTGATCATGTCAATGCCCCACATTGTGAATGGCCACGAAGCGGTCATGACATTCAGAGGGATTGGAAGCACATGGACCTTGTCAGCATAGATTTGGA